CCCCCCCCCCCCCCCCCCTCCCAGGCTCGAAATCATGGAGATCCAACTGCCTCTACCTCCGGAGTGCTGGGATTAAAGGCATTTGCCATTTTGCCACCACCACCCAGAAAGGCAGGTTTACTTTCAGTGGAATTCAGGAGCAGATGAGGCACGAATAATGTCCATTGTCTTCCAACAATCATTAGGGTCCCTCTTCAGGACCCTCTGACTGCAGGGAATGATTTCTCATAACTGTCCTACTTTGCAGAAATCGGGCTCTGGGAACAAAGAAGGAAATGCAGTTTCCCACCAACATGTTGAAACATAGCACTCGACTTCCTGCACACCATGTCACAGTTGGCCACACCAGACAACATCTCTCTGAATCCATGCCTCTGTTGTCTCTCATTATACCTTTGCTCCTATGCATAATGAGCTCAGTAATTATTTTCCTTGGAATTGAAAAAGGCTGACTTTGACAGCTCATGCTTATTTGTCTGCACGCCAGTATCAGGAATAAACCAGATCACAGAAATATCTCTTATACATACATCAGGAATAAGCTTAGTGATCTCAGTGCTGCCTTCACTGAATGCCTCACTTCATAGTCAACCCTTATGAGTGGCCACTCTTCATTGCAAAGAGCAGTGATCTGCCTAGAGGGTCTCTGTGGCATAATGTCCTGCCCCCGCCCCCCCATCTCCTCCCTCCCTCCCCCCCATTAGCCTGGCACCAGAGGGATAGCAAGCAACCTCCACTAGCCATGAAACCCCACTGGGTTATACCTGGCCTAGCTCTGAAGTTTTCACCCAGCTCCTCCTCCTTCCTTTGTGCTGCAAGTACCTTTTGTTGCCCTATGTGAATCTTTTCTGAGAGTTTCTCGTGGATACAAAGCCTATGCAAAACTTACTTTAGAGGAATCCCAGAAAACCATGGTACCTTATGAATCAGGTATTTACACCTGGCATTGTATTGTCTAAAATGCCATTGAGTTTATTTTGAGATATGGAAATCTACTAGCTAGAGTGTAAATACAGGGAAAAGATGCCAAGAGGCAAAGGGAACGCACTTGAAGTCACGGAGCTGGAGCCCCCTCTGCAGCCACAGAGGCTAAGTTCATTCTCAGTGCATCTTTGAGTCTGTATTTCACACAGAAACAAAAGCAAAGCTGTTTCTCCAAAGCAATGCATCTCTTGAGTTACATTGTACAAATATATTTATTGACTTCTGGGTTTTTTTTGTTGTTGTTGTTGTTGTTTTTCGAGACAGGGTTTCTCTGTGGCTTTGGAGCCTGTCCTGGAACTCGCTCTGTAGACCAGGCTGGTCTCGATCTGCCTGCCTCTGCCTCCTGAGTGCTGGGATTAAAGGCGTGCACCACCATCGCCCGGCTTGACTTCTGTTTTAACGCTAAGACATTTTCAAAATATTTAAGTTGGTATATTTTATCAGCATCTCTTAATCGGATATTTGATCAGCATCTCTTTTAATCTCATGTCCTTTGTTTTTTAGCAACCAAAACATTTAAAATCAACCCAATACTATACAGGATCCAGATTCCCTGTGAATTTTTTATCTGTGTATGACTTTTTTATATTACTTTTACTGTCTCTTTAAAGAGTTTGTTTTATTTTTTAAAAAATGTTTCTATGACTGCCTATACCCATTTTCTTTCTTAAGTCTACATACATTTTTAAACACATTGTGACCCGTTTAAAGGTTTCTTTTTGTCTGAATCTGTCTTTATTGTCTAACTGTAATCATTTTATTTAATTTTTTTATTGTTTTTATTGAACTATATATTTTCTCCACTCACCTCTCTTCCTCCCCTCTTCCCCTGTACCCTCTCCCATGGTCCACACATTCCCAATTTACTCAGGAGAGCTTGTCTTTTTCTACTTCCTATGTAGATTAGATTTTTTGATAACTATTTTAAACTGGCAAGTGGACGTGGCTAGTAGGACCAAAGCACAGATTTTGGCTGTTGGCTGTACCTCATTCGGCTTTCCAACATGGTGAAACTACATTCACCTCTAATTCTGGGTGTTAAGAATATTTTCTAACACAAGCTCTCTGCCTACGCAAAAATCCCAATCAAGCCAAATCAAAACAAACCAAATTAAAAGATATCCAGATTTAATTGGACTTCTGTGCTCTCAGAAACTGGAAAGCTGCAAAGCAACTGGGGGGGGGCGGGGACACGTTTATTTTGGGGGCACATTTTAAATAGCCTGGGGGACTGGTCTTGACCTTTTCTGGGGAGGGGTCAAGGTTTGGCGGGTCAAGGTGCAAGGGACACATGGGCAGGGCCTGCAAAGATGGAGGCCTGAGGCCAGAGACCGGGATTTACACTGGGAGTCATGTTCACTGGCCCAATTCTAAGAGTCTGTGGGTCAGTGCCACCAACAACAACTTGTAGCACGCTACCCATAAACCTTTTTTCTGTATGAATAAAAACTAAATCCACTATGCAGTGTACTGTATGGGTTGGAGATGCTTCTGCCTCTGTGTAGTGTGACAGGAATCCAACATGCTATGCTCCAAGCTCCAATCCTTTAAAAAAAAAAAACAAACAAAGAAAAAAACAAAAAACCTTTTTCAGGTCTTCTGTGGAAACTCGAGAGTCCCACATTGGTACGTCAGTGTAGCCAGAAACTTTTTTGTGTCTTACCTGGTCCTAGTGGACCACTTCTCCCCACCCACCCCCACCCCCACAGCCATTTATAAAATAACCAATATTATTTGTGATATTAATTACAAACTATTATCTCAGGCTTATTAGCTAGCTCTTACAATTTAAATCAACCCATTTCTATACTATATTTTACCACAAGGCTCGTGACTTGTTACCTCACATTTTGCTTCCCTGATTGCAGATGTCTTCTTGACTTGGCCTCCTTTCTTCCTGTATCTCTGCCTAGATTTTCCACCTACCTGTATTCTGCCTGGCTATTGGCCAAATCAGCTTCTTTATTAACCAATGGTAATAAAGCATTTTCACATCATCCAAAAGGACAGCCCACATCATTGTTCTTTTTAAGGGAGGTCACAAGGGCAGGGGATAGACATTAAAGGACTGGGAAGTGAGTGTGATTAGGGTGTGTATGATGTGAAATTCCCAAAGCATTAAAAAAAATACTGTTTTGAAAAAATAATTTTGCCTTTTAGGACTCCACTCTGAAGAACAAGAAGTCAAAGGAGACAGGAATGGCCAGTTCAGAGAAACCCCTGTGGAAAGGAGAGTGCCAGAGAGACAAGTACATGGCATGTGTTTACAGACAGAGTAAGAATGACCTGAGCTTTGTGGTCTAAGAAACCCACTGCAGACACTGGGCACAGGGGTCAGTGTTCATCCCTTTAGTTCATCCCTTAGTACTTGTTGAGTATCAGCTGTGTGCCAGGGTCTTTCCCAGATGCCGGATGCTCAAACTCCTTCCTGACCCCTGTTCTGTTCCATCCTCACATGTTTATACCCCAAGGATTTTGTCCTTAGCTGCCTCAGCAGTCTGTTCAGATTCTGCTGTCTAGAACACAGACAAGCACAGCCAGCTTTCTACTAATTGACATCTGTCAGCACTACCCACAGGGACCTTGGGCCAACAGCTCAAATCCCGACTTTTCTCCTCATGTTCACACTGTCGTATCTTCCTGTCACCAGATGGAAACATTTGGAATCACTTCGACTTTTCTCTCCCAGGAAATCCAGTTGCCAACCCAAACCAACCACCAAATGCTTTACATCTAGGTCATACATGTAAGGACCTAAGTGAATCAAAGGCTTCACTGCTGAGAAGTAGCCATGATACTTAGAAACAAAGGCTTAGAGTTGAGTGTGGAACACAGCTGTAATCTCAGTACTTGGGAAGCTGAGGCAAGAGGATCACAAGTTTGAGGGCAGCCTGAGCTATGCAGTAAGACCACATCTTTAAAGGAAAATGAGCTTTTTTTAAGTTTGGGCTCTATCATCATTACCCTGGTGAATGTATTTAATTGTTTCTCAGGCTCCATGTCAACAGGGTAAAATACTTCCAACAGTTTGATAATTGTTGCTTCTCCCAATAACCTACAGAGAAATAAATTCTTTTCTCAATTATGCAGTGACATGAGTCTTACCATCTGTCCCATGATTCTGTGAGCATTGAAAATTCAAATTAAACAGTGTAAACAGACACATGACTTGAAAATTTATCCTGGGTAGCCATTGGGGATATGGGTCCTGGCTTGAAGGAAGTAGGTGAGCCTTGAAGGTTACATTACTCCTGGCTCTAGACTGTTCTTTCTGCCTCCTGATTGGGGCCATTAGGAACAAGCACAATGCTTGTTCTCTCTGTTAAGGACAAAGCATTCTAGCCTCCATGTCCTTCCCATTATGATGAACTGCTATTAGCCTTTTCTGTCTTAGACTTATTATTTCCACGTATCTTTGTTAAAATGATGAAAAAAGTAACAGTCTGAGACAATCTCCAGTCCTTTTTTAATTAAAATATTTTTAAATATTTATTTTTTTTTCTTTATGTGTATGAGTGTTTTGCCTACATGTGTGCCTATGCATTACCTTGAGTCCTCAGAGGTCAGAAAGGGGCATTGGATCCCCTGGACCTGGGGTTACAGATGGTTCTAAGCCACCATATGATGATAGGAACTGAATTCAGGTCCTCTGTAAGTGCTCTTAAGAGTGGCTCCATCTTTCCTGAAAAACTTAATATTTTTTAAACCTCTAAGCCTTTGATAATATCTCTCTATTGGAAAAAGATCTGAAGCGTTCATCTAATTAATCTTTTTTTTTTTTTTTTTTTTTTTTTGGTTTTTCGAGACAGGGTTTCTCTATGGTTTTGGAGCTGTCCTGGAACTAGCTCTTGTAGACCAGGCTGGTCTCGAACTCACAGAGATCCACCTGCCTCTGCCTCCCGAGTGCTGGGATTAATAAAAGCCAGGAGTCAGATATTGGGAAGTAAAGACCTGGAAGATCAGAAAACTGGGAGCAGCCATCAGTTGCTTTCTACCTGTCTCCTTCCTCCATCCAAAAGTTCCGAGATCCTGTCTCCATTCCACCTTATCACTCCTGTCTCCATGTTCCAAGTGCTGAAATTAAAGGTGTGAGCCACCACTGCCCAGCTTCTATGGTTAACGAGTAACTAGCTCTGCCCCCTGATCATTAGGCAATCTTTGTCAGAAAACAAAATATCACACAAGGATCTTAGTACTTTCTTATTTGTTTGTACCCAAACTTAATCTTTTTAGTTGATTTTCATTGTCTACAGAATAAAGTTTGTCCAGAGTGTATCTCTTTGGTTGGTCAGAAAGAAGTCTCCTGTGGCTCCCTGTGACCACAAGCTCACTAACATCTTCACTGTCCTGAAACCGATTTCCTCTACTACTTTCTCCTTTTCCACTCCAGCTCTAGCTTTTCTGGTTTTATTAATAATATGGTAAAATTCACCAGACATGTTTTCTCGTGGTGCCTATGCATTAGTTAACTCCTGCCTAGAGTGATTGTATCTTTGTCTCCTTCAATTACTTCAACTCCAAGCAAGTCAACTTCTCAGTGTGGTCTCTGCAGTAAGGCCCATTTCTTCTCTAAGAGCACAGTTGTCTATCACCCAACGTCTCCCTTTTCTTCTCTTAAGTGTGCCACCTTCTTAAACATTGTAAGAAGATTCATCTATATCTTAAATCTATTGATTATTATTTGTGTGTTCATATCATCATTGTGGTGGTTTGGATAGTAATAACCCCCATAGATCCATGTGTTTGCTTGGCCCATAGGGAGTAGCACTATTAGGATATGTGACCTTGTTGGAGGGAGTATGTTTCAGTGGAGGCAAGCTTTGAGGTCTCATTATGCTTAAGGTAGGCCTAATATGGCAGTCTCCTGCTGTCTACAGATCAAGATGTAGAATTCTCAGCTCCTCCAGCACTGTATCTTCCTGCATGGCACCTGCTTCTCTCCATGATGATAATGAACTAAACCTCTGAAACTGTAAGGCAGCCCCAATTAAAGTTTTTCCTTTATAAAAGTTTCTGTGGTCATGGTGTCTCTTCACATCAATAGAACCCCTAAGACAGGTGTAACTAATGACTCTCAGTGCCTAGAACAATGGTTAGCCTAGAGTGTATGCTTTGTTTGTATGCAAATGCTCATCTACATATACATAAGATGAACAAAATTCATACATGCCTAAGCCTGGCCCACTTCTCCCTACTGCCTTTCACAACTTCTATCCACATACAGGTGGGTCTTGTGTTGGTCCACTTGACTGGATTAATAGAGCCCTAACAATGCTGCTGAAGCCTGGGGCTTAGTGTATAGCAGGCCTGGGTGCTCAGATGGATACATTGTAAAAAAAAAATAATAATAATAAAACCTTTTATTGCCTATCTTTCTCTCTGCCTCCATTTCCTAGCACAGTAAAGTGAATATCTCTTCACCATGATTAATTGAAGATTCTGAAACCATGACACCAAATAAATCTGACCTCTCTCCAATTGTTTTGTTCAGGTATTTTGTCACAGTGACAAAAGCCAAGTTCCTAACATATTTCCCGAAATAGCTACTTTTTTATTTTTTTGTTTGCTTGGGATTTTTTTTTTTTTTTTTTTTTTTTTAAAGATTTATCTACTATGTATACAGGGCCTGCACATGTGCCCGAAGTCCAGAAGAAGACAACAGATCACATTACAGATGTTTGTGAGCCACCACGTGTTTGCTGGGAATTGAACTCAGGATCTTTGGAAGAACAGGCAGTGCTCTTAACCACTGAGCCATCTCTTCAACCCAATGTTTTATTTCTTGAAATAGGATTTCATTTAGCACAGGTTGGCCTTGAACTCACTAAGTAACTGATAATGACCTCAAACTCCTGATCCTACTCCTGCTCCCACCACCACACAAGCATTAGGATTGCAGTCTTGCACTCCTTTTATGCCTGGCCTTGTATTTTGTATTATACGAAATTATTTCTTACTTCCAATTATTTTAACAAAATACATGAGAGAATCATCAGCTTTATTATGCAACAGGCTTTGTGTTACATGATTTTGCCCAGCTATAGCCAAATGTAAGTGTTCTGAGAACATTCTAGGCAGGCTAACTTTGATATGGGTATGTTCATTAAATATATCTGCCTCATGATAGTTTCAATTGACTAGTAGTTTGTTAGAATCTACCCCAGCATAAGTCAAGAAGCATCTATACTTGATGCTTCAGATCAAAACAGCTGGCAGTTGCAAGGCTCACTCCCTCTCCATGCCAAACATCCACCTTCCAAGTCTTCACTCGTCACTTGTCCCTCAGTCTTCAGCTCAAGAAGAACCTATTTATCTACACTCTCTAGGCAGTCTTAATAGTGCTACAAGTCCAGGTTATTGCATCACTCTACTTGTAGACACTTCTTTCACTTTCATACTAACTTTTGATTTCAATGATTTATTTTCCTACTGGAACAATCAGAGTCTCCTGCTCAGGAAATAGAAAATACATTCAGAGAAAATTAGGCAAATAATTTTATCAAGAGACTATTTTCAGTGATGGGTGGAATTAATACATCAGTTATTAGAGTGCTGGAACCTTGGGGGAGGGTACTGTAGTGGTGTAGGAGCTGACATATCAAAATCATGGTTTGTGCTGGCTCCACTCCCTCAAATACCAAATGGAGTAAAATAAAAATAAACAAGTAAAATAAAAATAACCAAGGATCAAAGAAGTTAATATATCCAATATGACAAAGCTGTTAAGGATGAGAAACAGAACCCTACCTAACTCTGATGATTGTGAAATTCTATCACACACACCTTTAACACAAAAACACTTAGAGGTGTTTAAAAGCGAATTTGATAACTTGATTCTCTCTATATATAGTTTCATTGTACTTTGCTGGTTAAGAGATATTAGGGGCGTCAGTGAGATTGCTCACTTAAGTGGTAAGGGAACTTACCACAGAGGCTGTTGACTTGAGTTCAGTTCCTGGAGTTCACATGATGGAATGAGCGAACTGACTTCCACAAATCCTGTCATCTCTGTACACACCATTTGTGCCTACACATGCATACTAAATATATACATTTTTTAAGTTAAAAAGAATGCAGATGTGGACAGGGAGATGGCTCAGTAGGGAACAGCACTTGCTGCACACATATAAGGATGTGAGTTTGGATCTCAGCACCCACAAAAATCTGGGCATTGCTCTGTTGGCCTATAACCTCAGTGCTGAGGGCAGTAGAGACAGGATTCCTGGGACTTGCCAAATGCCAGCCTAGCTTCAGATTCAGTAAATGACCCTTTCTTAAAGGACTAAGGTAGAGAGAGAAAGAAAGCAAGACAGGGACATTCTCTTCTGATCTTCTCCACAAGCAATACCACCCCTTACACATAGGATTAGACCATACACAGATATACCAAAGAGACAGAGAGAGAAAGAAGAACCTTTTTGCAGCATCACAAGCCTTTCATGTTATTTGTATATTGTTGGAATATTTATGCCATTAGCACTTGTTGAATGATACTTGTTAATTGTACTCATTTTGCTAATACATTTCAAATTCTAAAACAGTTGCCAAAAGCTGTTAAAAGAGAACAATGGGAGCCGGGCCGTGGTGGCACACGCTTTTAATCCCAGCACTCAGGAAGCAGAAGCAGGTGGATCTCTGTGAGTTCAAAACCAGCCTGGTCTACAAGAGCCAAGACAGGCTCCAAAGCTACAGAGAAACCCTGTTTCGAAAAATCAAGAGAGAGAGAACAATGGATATATTTTAAAATGTAATAAATCTTGTAGGCCCATATTTCTGCACATGCTAAAGATTAATTTGGAATAATTTACATATATGGTATTCTAGGGTGGCATGAAAAAATAGTTGTTGGGCGTTTTTGTTTGTTTTGGTTTTTGGCTTTTTGTTATAGTGTGGAAAATGGAATGCAAGCAACAAGGGCATAAAAGTAAATCTCATAGTCTCACATATGGCTTTTTTCAAATTCTTCAAAGTACAGGTAATTCTTTTAATTTAAATGTGAGCCCATGGAAATTTTGGAGCAGCTGTAGAAAACAAGCCAGGAATTTTGTGTTACAGCTTGTTTTGGTGACCTGACCCTCTGCCCTTCACTGTTTGGAATTATGACAGAGAGTCATTTCTGTACCTACCACCACCTAGGAGGTGATTTAATGAAAGGAGTTACCAATTCCAAGAAGGGTGCTAAAGGTCCAGGAAGCTGACAGGAAGGGCTGAAGACTCCCAGGAAGGATGACAGCTAAGGTGGGGTCTTCAGCCAACAGAAAGACTAGGGAGACAACCATAGCTCAATTTGTTAGTTGGGGGATTTGGGAAAATAGATCACTCTGAGTTTTTCAAGGTCATACAAAGTTGAAGTCAGATATACTCTTCCACATTCCTGAGTGTCCTTCCCTATCAGCTCATTTCCTATGTAGTTCATCATTCTGCACTTACGGTATTTTTATTAGGCAACAATGTCTGATTTCTTCTTGGTCACAGTGATGCCGTATATTTCTGGAAACTTTCCCACCTATCACTGTCAAGAACTGAAGGAGTGCATCAATGTTTAGAGAGGAGTTTGAAAATCCTGCTACAAGGCAAGTGAGAATGGCCTTATGCTTGCATTTGTGGTTTCATTGTGGAGAGAAAGGTCCCAAGAAGCAGAAAGAGAGAACATCATTGTTGGGCACTGATGAACACTGAGCATCAAAAGTAGACTAAGCCACTTAATGTATCCGGAAGTACTATGTAGAGGTTCAGTAGCTTGGGTATTCAGGACTTATCAGAATACTAGCAGCAATTGGTGTGTTTGGTCTCCTGGC